CTTCAATAGGAATTCCTATTGTCCCTAGAACATTATTCAAATGCCTTCCCAATATTCAAGGCCCTCCACAATCTTGCTCCAATCTACTTTTACAAAGTTTACTCTTTCCATAAACTGTGGACTTTTCTCTCATTGAATTTCTCTCCTTACTATGTTAGGGGTCTCCCTAACATAGCTTCTTTCCTTGTCTTCACCTACCCTTCCACCTCTGTCCTACTTAATGTCAGTTTAAGTCTCCCTCCCTTCAAAAAGTATTTCCTGGAACTGTGCTTACCAATGACTGCCTCTTCCTTTCTAACTCTCCTGGACCTAAAGTGGAAGTTGTAAACCAGCCTATAAAGTGACTTTTTTTTTTACTTTGTTTTGAGTGAGCTTCCAAATGTACAAATCAGAAATTTTCACATTTAAAAAACTGAATTTCCAGCTTCTATTGAAAAATTGGAAATATATTAACACTGGTTCTATATTCCCTCCTGCCAAGAATGAGTTGAAGTTGAGTGGTAACAGCTGGCTCTTTTAAGCTACGGCATGCACTCAAGTTTTATTCTTATACCTGGCTCACCATACTTACCATGTATACAGGTGCCTGGCTTGTGTAAGCATTTGTTAGTAACGCCAGGTCCAAACTATGGATGAACACTTGGTGTACACTAGCTGATAGTTATTTATCTTTATATTTATCATGTCTTTCAGAAAAGTTCCACTTATCATACCTATTTGGGATCCTCACAATGCCTAGCAACAATACCTAAACATAGGAGACTACTTAGAGTCAGATAAATGATGATGTTGATAATGAAAACTTAGTCTGCCTTTTCTTAACTAACCCACCACCTAACAAAACTACAGTTCTGTATGAGGAAATTAAACAGCCTAAGAAAGCATTGACAGTAGAGAGGCAGTACTAGGAAGGTTGACTTGAGAGCTAGCAGCTAAATTAAGAAGTTTGAAATTTATCCATTGTGGTTAGTAGGTATTTGTGTCTTTCATCCAAAGCTTCTTGCTGGAAGAATCTGTTGGTCTCTATTTCCTCACTCATGTAGGACAGCTGAGACCAAAGGGCAGAAAGAAAAAGCGAAAGGATGATGGATAGTGGTGATGGACACTAAGTTGGAGGATGGAAGTTATTTTTCACTCTATTTTCTAATGTGAAAAGGTACAAACCGAGGCTACTCCAAACCTGTGGAATCCACAGAGTTGACTAGAGTTTCAGGGAGGATAGATCAGGATTGGAATCCAGATCATATGACTCCACAGTCAGTCAACACGAAGAGAGGCAGATTTACCATGAAGCTAATGGAGCTTAGCTTCCAGAGCCCATTTCTTATAGAAGCCTTCTTTGAAACTCTGGGCAAGACTACTATAGTAATGTGTTCATGTGGTCATTATAAAATTTGCAAAAGTAAGGTTTTTTTTAATAGAAAATGCTTAAAAGACATGTGTTTTCTTATTTGTTTTGTATTGTTTTTCACACGGACTCTAATAACTTCCCTTTGTTGGGCATTTTAAAATATATATATATATATATATTATTGATTTTTTACAGAGAGGAAGGGAGAGAGATAGAGAGTTAGAAACATTGATGAGAGAGAAACATCGATTAGCTGCCTTCTGCACAACCCCCACTGGGGATGTGCCCGAAACCAAGGTACATGCCCTTCACCGGAATCAAACCTGGGACCTTTCAGTCCGCAGGCTGATCCTCTATCCACTGAGCCAAATCGGTTTCGGCTGTTGGGTATTTTTGAGATCTGGCTAAGAGAAAGATGAGTTGGGGTATAATTATTTTGGGTTATATTTATGTGATTTACAGTCATTTTTATGAGAGTTGCTATTGCTAGACATGCAAGGATAAAAATGGCTTTCAAAAATACCCCTGTTACCTACTGGGTGGACTCATCTGGCATTATGACCCAAAACTGTAGGGCCAGAGGTCATACCTTGATATAAGTGGCATGTAGATTGTGGAACTTTCTTATTAGGTCTGGTTGACATGGCAACCACAGAGTATTAAGGCTCTGAGTCTAGGATTGTAACGTTGTGACTTCTTACTTTGGAAGAAGATAAAAGCCCGAGTGTGAGGAGACTCAGGACCCAGGTGTGGGCTGGCTGGACTCCTTCACCAAGTTGGTATCTGGCAGAAGCAGCCCAGGAGGAAATAAAAGGTGCCTGAGTCCCATCTGCTTTACCATCAAGTGTATCCTTTCTTAGTAGCATAACTGTGTCCTCTGGAGTTCAGTAAATGTAGCCACCTAAGCAAGTTCTGCTGAGCCTCCAACCCAGGAAGCATTTTAGGCGCCTAATTTATCAGTAATATATTTAAGTATAATTTAAGACGACAAAAAAAGAGAAAATATACGCTAAATTAATGAGATTATTTCCCAGGAATGAGATTAATAGACTAAACTTTTTAATCCGTTTATCTGTATTATTTACATTTTAAAAAACACACTCATATGTATTACTTTTATAACTGGAGGGAAAAAGGTAAAAACATTCAAATGGGAAAATACAAGCTAATGTCAATAATTGAGGAGGCCAAAGCTGATGTTCTTCCTTCTCCTCACCAAACCTTCATGAGCTTTTTAGGGACTTTGACATGTTTTTCCAATACAAAAACATTATTTTTTATTAGAAAAAAAACAAAGACCTAATTTCACTTCTTCAAATAAAAAAATAAATCCTTTAAGATTGCATGGGGAAAATAATTTATTTTTAAATTAGATGTCTACACAGCTGGGACCATTTACTATTCATTAAGCAAAAGTTTTTTTTGTGTGTGAGAAAAAAACTGACCGCCTACTGTCTGGTAGGCACAGTTCTCGCTTAGTGCCTCATTTGATTTAAAACAAAACAGAAACCGTTTTTATTGTTTTGTTTTTTAAATCAAAGACCGTTTCAATAAATCCGTTAACTCTATAAAACGCGTTCACGGGAAAGGAACGATCTGCCTGGCCTGCCGCCCCTGTCACGTGACCCCGAGGCGGGGGGTCGCCGTCTTACGTGCTGCCTCATAAAGGAACTACATCTCCCAGAATCCTCGCGGTTGCGTCGCGCTGGCACTTTTAACCGCCCGGTCTCCGAGCGGAGCCTGTAGCCCGGCGCCATCTTTGACGCTGGCAGTCTTGGATTTCTTGCTGGTGTTGCTGCCGTGAGGACGGCGGAGGGCAGCGGCTAAGAGAGAAGAAAGACGTGGCAGCGAGCGGGAGTCGGGGATAGTGCCCTCGGTTCGGTAAAGTTTCTGTTCTCCGGTAACTAAACCCGTTTTTTTTGACTCCCGGGTGGCTCGGGCCGGGGAGGTTGGGGTGAGGGCGAGGGGAGTGGCCGCGGCCTCCCCTCGCCCCTGGGTCGCGGCCTAGTTAGTCCGGGAAGTCATAGCGGGTCCTTCGGCCCCCGCCGTGTAACGACAGCATCCCCCTGCCCCCACGCCGGCCGCTGCCCTCACCGGGCGGGCGGGGAGCCCCCGGATCCCCTCTGTGCGCAGGCAGCCCAGCTCACCCCACCTCCACCCGCACCCCCACCGCGCCGGCTCCCTTCCCGGCCGGCCTCCCTCCCCTCCCCCACTTCCGGTGCTGGCGAAATCGGGAGCCCGGAGCAGCTCCTGAGAGCAGCCCTCTTGCTCCTCCACTCCCGGAGCAAGGTTGACTTAAAGATTGCTTTTGGGGAGGGAGGGGCCCCCATCATCTCCCTAGTTCAGCGGACCCCCTACTGCTTAAATGAACCTGAGTGCCAGGAGCTGAATTTACCTACTCTCATTCCTCTCCAGGGTTTCACACTACTTTGGAGGTTTTTCTCAAACTCCACACACAGAAAGCCACCGACCTTATTCCGGTATCCGCCACCCCTTCCTTATCTTTAATTACACTCCCGCCCCCCCAGCCCTCAGCATCGGAGTCAAGAGCTACAGGGACACTTCAGTTCTCCTTGTAGGATTGATGAGATCGTAATGAAGAACGCCCCCTAAGCTCCCATAAATCGGTGCGGATTCCTCTTGGGGGAAGGCCCATGTTATTGGCATCTCACAGGCCTTGGTTCTGGACGTTGAGAAGGAGGCTGTGGATATAGTTGATAGCGATGCTTTTTAGGGTAAATGTGTGTAGGTATTGGGGGGAAAAGGGAGGGGACAACCGAGAAGGAATGGAAGTAGTGTAAAGCTCGTTTTAGTGTTTGTTGCTCATGTAGAGTCCATTCTATGACTCGTTTACAGGCCAGAAAGCTTCTGCAGTCTAAAAGTGTCTGAAAACTAAACTTGGATTAATTGTAAATAACTGAAAATACATCTTGTGAACTTGATTTTTAATTTTACCCACAAAGCATTTTATTTTAGCCACCCACATTTTAAAAAAAAATTGTATTACTTTTCATTCGAGCCGAGAGGGGTCAACTAGCATTTGTTGTTAATGACCAGTATGTGGAGTCTGATTTAGCATTTCAGAATTGACTTTTTGGGTTGTATTGACAAATCAGTCCTAAATGTCAGTGTTGAATGATGCACTATGTTTTTGATTAAATTAAACTTCCTGAAAATAATTCATTTCAGGATTAATGGAAACTGATGTTGCTATTGTGTGAAGCTTCATAAAAACACATTTCTAAAGGTGAAGGCATTTTAAGCAGATAGAGTTCTTGATGAAGCAGAAAGAACATGGGCCTGGGATTTGGAAACCTTGGCTTCTAGCTGCTACTGATCAACTTTATGACTCTGGGAAAGTGGGCCTCAGTTCTTTTTTCTATAACATGAGTGGATTGGACAATTTGAATCCAGAACTCAGAAAATTGGAAAGGATCTTAAAGCCCTTTGAGAAAGAGTTTGGGAATGTTCTCCATCGCTGTCACTTTTCCTCCAAAAATAACCTGGCATGGAAGTCATGGGTCCAAAGGGAATTTGATTCCCCATAGAAATTGGAGAACAGGTAATGCAAGTAGAGAGGAACAGCTGTATTTCCTGAGTAATAAACCCACCAACAGATTCTGGTACGAATTTCGGCGGCATAAAGAGAATGAATGTATGTACCCTAAGTGTACCAGTTTCCTCGCTCTCTGCTGGCGGAAGATGCAGCACGTTTAGTAGTGCTGGAATTCTGGGATGTGTTCCTATTCATTCTAATACAGATAAAGAAGATGTGGTAGAGAGAAAGATGGTGGCAGAAGGAATGGATAGAGAGGCAAAATTGCCTACTAAAAAGAAAAGAAAGAAGGGCTTGCGAATAAAGGGGAAAAGGCGTCGAAAGAAACTAATTCTTGTGAAAAAATTTAGTAAGGATTTGGGGTCTGGGAGGCCTGTTGCAGATCCCCCTGCTTTGTTAGCTTCCAGCACTCCTGAGCGGGATGAAGAAAGTCTTTTTGAGAGCAATATAGAAAAACAGATCTACCTACCTAGTACTAGAGCCAAGACCTCCATTGTATGGCACTTCTTCCACGTGGACCCCCAGTACACCTGGCGGGCCATTTGTAACCTCTGTGAAAAAAGTGTTAGCAGGGGTAAACCAGGCAGCCATCTTGGGACATCTACTCTTCAAAGACATCTACAGGCAAGGCATTCCCCTCACTGGACGAGGGCCAACAAATTTGGAGTCACTAGTGGGGAGGAGGACTTTACTTTGGATGTAACTTTATCTCCCTCCTCTGCTGGAAGCAGTGGAAGCTTTGACTATATTCCTACTGATCCATTAAATGATAATAGAATGGGTAAGAAACGGGATAAATCACTATCTGATGCCCTGAGGGCAGAAAGGGGGAGATTTCTCATCAAAAGTAACCTTGTCAAGCATGCCTTAATTCCTGGAACGAGAGCCAAGACATCTGCAGTTTGGAATTTTTTTTACACTGATCCTCAGCACATCTCGAGAGCTGTGTGTAATATATGTAAAAGAAGTGTGAGCCGTGGTAGGCCAGGTTCTCACTTAGGAACTTCAACACTTCAACGACACTTGCAGGCCACACATCCCATCCATTGGGCTGTTGCCAACAAAGACAGTGGTGTGCTTGGAAATGGATTAGATGAGACTGAGACCGACAGAAATCTCTTGAGTGATACTTCGCATGGAGAGAAGTCTACAGGCAGCCAAGATTTAACAGCTGAGGACCTTAGTGACTCTGATTCAGATGGACCTCCTGTGTTAGAGATGGAAAATAGGATATCTGAGAGTCCTATTCCTGTTGCAGAGCAAGACACTCCGATGCATGCCCACGAGAGAGAAACAACATATTGTGAAAATGCAGCCTCCAGTCAAGTAAGTCAGGCGATTATTCAAATGATTGTGGAAGATATGCATCCTTACAGCTACTTCTCAACCCCAGCCTTTCAGAGGTTCATGCAGATTGTGGCCCCTGATTATAGGTTACCATCTGAGACTTACTTCTTCACTAAGGCTATACCTCAGTTATATGATTGGGCCAGAGAAAAAATTTTCTTAACTTTGGAGAATGTTCAAAGCCAAAAGATCCACCTGACTGTGGACATATGGACCCATGACCCGTCCACTGATTATTTTATTGTGACTGTACACTGGGTCTCCTTGGACACTGTACCTTCTTCCAGTAATGGCTGGATCCCCAATTTTAGAAAATGGGCAGTGCTTTGTGTAACAGGTTTGGCCAAAGACTGTTTGGTAACCAACATTTTACAAGAATTAAATGACCAGATTGGTCTGTGGCTTTCTCCTAATTTCCTCATTCCTGGCTTCATTGTTTCTGACAATTCCTCTAATGTGGTACATGCAATCAAAGAGGGTGGTTTTACCCACGTGCCATGCTTCCTGCATTGTTTAAATATAGTCATTCAGGATTTCTTCTGTGAGCACAAAAGCATTGAGAACATGTTAGTGGCTGCTAGGAAAACCTGTCATCATTTTAGTCATTCAGTCAAGGCTCGTCAGATACTGCAAGAGTTCCAGAATGATCGCCAACTTCCGTGGAAGAATTTGAAGCAGGATGAACCTGGCCATTGGATTTCTACCTTTTACATGTTAAAATGGCTCTTGGAGCATTGCTATTCCGTTCACCATAGTCTTGGTAGAGCCAGTGGAGTTGTACTCACCTCCCTTCAGTGGACCCTAATGACTTATGTTTGTGCTATTCTTAAACCGTTTGAGGAGGCCACCCAGAAAATCAGTGTGAAGACCACAGGATTGAATCAGGTGCTACCAACAGTCCATCATCTACACTTTTCCCTGCAGAAACTTAGAGAAGATTTTCAAGTCAGAGGTATTACACAGGCCCTCAATCTGGTGGACAGTTTATCTCTGAAACTTGAAACGGACGCCCTACTAAGTGCCATGCTCAAATCTAAGCCCTGTATCTTGGCTGCTTTGTTAGATCCTGGCTTTAAAAATAGTTTGGAAGACTTTTTCCCTCACGGTGCTGATTTAGAAATGTATAAGCAGGTCCTTGCAGAAGAAGTTTGTAATTATATGGAATCTTCACCAGAGGTCTGCCATATTGCAACTTCGGAAGCTTCTGGTCCCTCAGCTATAGTACAAACAGACTCATTTACTTCCTCTGCAGGAGAAGGCACCTCCAGTTCAGGGTCTGTTGGTAGTTCAGCTGCAGATACTGTTGGCATTGGAGGCAAAAGCTTCATGTTTCCATCTGCTGTAGCAGTAGTGGATGAATACTTCAAAGAAAAGTATTCAGACATCTCAGGAGGTGATGATCCTTTGATTTACTGGCAAAGGAAGGTGAGCGAATGGCCGGCTTTGACCCAAGTTGCCATTCAGTATCTAAGCTGCCCTATGTGTAGTTGGCAATCTGAATGTATCTTTACTGCAAATAGCCACTTTCATCCAAAGCAGACCATGAGCCTGGACTTTGACAATATAGAACAGCTGATGTTTCTGAAAATGAACTTGAAAAATGTTAAATATGATTATTCTACATTGGTTCTGAGCTGGGATCCTGAAAATGAAGTTGTTCAAAGCAATGAAAAAGAAATATTATCTTAATTTTCCTTTCTCCATTTAAAATGAACAACTTCTTGCTTTGTTACTGTATTCTAATTGCTATAGTTGTTACATATTGTTCACTAATTATTCTTTATACATGAATCTGGGGGAACCTGAAAACACAAAAAGGACTGAAAATTTCTCAGAGGTAACATTGGCAAAGTGAAGATTAACTTTAATGATTTTACAGTACTAATTCAATGTGGCTGTCACATGAAATTTTGTTTATATCAGTTGAAATATATTTTTTAACTTAAAAAATATAGTGCAGCATTGAAAGGCCTTGTGCTATTTCTTACTGGTAAACTAAACCTAGTAATTGGTTTTGAACAAAAATCTCTCCCAACAGTTGATTACTCTAAGACCAATGATAATGAAAAAACAACAACAATACATACTAAGCTGGTATTCCTACCCCTCACCCCCATTTTTCTATTTCTTGTAAAACCCTGAATCATACTTAAAGCGTGGCAAAAACAAAACTCACAAAGTTGTTTTATATTTTGAAATTTCTAATTGCCTCCTCATACTGGTCAGCTTTATAATTTCAGCTTACTGAGTTTACCCTTTAAGGATTGGATCTATATAAACATTACAATTAGGAAAAATTACTTTTAATCTTTCCTTTTTTAACCTTTTTTAAAATGGTGTAAAAACTAAGATTGCATAGGTACTTTTGCCTAATTATGGGTAAATGACATAATAAACGTTTTACAAAATTTAAAAAAGATTGCATGGGAATTAAAATCTTAAGTCCCATACATGAGCATACTTTGACAATCCTAGTATCCATTTTCCAAAGACAGTTTTTCTGATATTAAGTGATTTTAAGTACTTTTTAATGTATACTGAATTCTTCATAACTATGCATTCTTAACTACGAAATTGTTTTGGCCTCAATTCTTAACTAAAAATAAGCAATTAATATTTTCATGTATTAGGAATCATTTCCTCATTGGTAAAATGAGAGAATGAATCTCAGTGATTTTTAAGGTTCCTTTCCACTCTGTTTTATAATTGATTGGGAGGCCAGAAAATGATGACTTTTAATAAAAGTCTATTAAAATTTTCAGACTGAATAACTAATGTAAGATCCCAATTTTTCCTTTTTTTCATTTTAGATTTGGGGATATTCCCTGCCCAAAAATTTCGTGGAAAATTGACTAGTATTAAGTGTGAGTAAAAGGTGTCCACTTTTTTTTTTTTTTTTTAAGTTTTTATTTTAGTTTTGTCTTGGATAGTATTTGGCAAGATTTAGCCTAGAAATAATGTAGTATCTATTACATGAAAATCAAAATTGCTTTGTTACTGGGCTGGTTTCAAAATTTAGAATTCATTTCTATGTATCAAATCGTTTTTTGGTGGGGTTTTTTTTTTTGTTTTTTTTTTTTTGGCCTTTTTTCTTTTAATTCTTAAATGGTAAATGTACCATTGTGGAATGAAATTTCAACTTCAAAAGTTTACCCTTTTATTAACTAGAGTAAATGGATAATTGCAACGTCTTTAGTTGTAGCCATCAGTGGTAAAGAATTTGAAATTAGGCTGCATAAGCAAGCCTTTGCAGGGCCAATATTGAATTTCATGCCAGTTGACACTGGTTGCTATAAAAGAAAAAAATTTTCCCTTAATAGAAGCTTTTTGTATTTTGACAGTGCCAGCTCAGTTTGGCTATAATGCTGCTCTGCCTTCTACAGCTTACTGCACCACTCTGTAGTTATTCTATAACTATACGTTTCTATCTTTTTTGGTTAAACACTCCCTGAAGATGAAAAAGATTATGATATACATGCATCCATATTATACGCATTGATATATGTGTAAAGAATTCACTTCATCTTTATTTTGCCAGCTGGGCAAAATTTTGTGTAACATCTTCATGATACTTTGGTATAAGAGTAAGTTCACTACTTTTATAATGAATCCAAATCTAAAGCCTTTTGTAGTGTATTTTAAAAGGGAAAACTTACCCAAATGTTTTATTTCTACACATTTGTGTGTATGTGTGTGTGTGTATGTGTGTATAAGCCAGTTAGTATATATGTATATTATGTACATAAAACACTATATTTTTACATACAAGTGTGCTTTTATTATACAGATAATAAAGATGGGGGAAGGTTTCTGTTTTTTTCTTAATAGGTGAAGAAATCTTGAAGACCAGAAATTGGATCTTATTGAATTTTGGTGTTCTTTTTTATTTTTTCTCTTTCTTTTTTTCTTTTTAAATTATATTGTTCGACTATGGAAGATGGATTTTTAAAAAAAAAATAATAATCCTTTGAATTTCAAGTTCATCTTTAAATGAACTTTTTTTGTTTGTTTGTTTTTGTTTTTGTTTTTATTTTGAGGAGATAACTAGCCATAGCTGTCTCCAGTCTGACAAAGGTTGTTCGAATGGACTTAATCTCCCAATAGTTGGGAAATGTTTTAAAAACACATCCTGTGTTTGAATTGTGGCTGAGAGGTTTCCTTGGCAATGTGAGGAGGAAATTTTTTTCTGCCTCATTATTATTAATTCATGGATTGAGTGTTGGTTCGACCTACAGGCGTAATAGATTGGAACTCAGTGAAGACACAGATGTTCCTGTTGAGAGCAACCAGCTAATGTAAGTGTGGAAATTGTTTTTTTTTCTCCTTAAAGTACTAAACACTTTTATTATAATTTAAGGCATAATTTTCCTGGATCAGTAAGAAATGAACCATCATCAAAACATTATTTTTCTTGTAATTGTTTATAAGCTTTTGGTTTGGGGGGAAAAGGTACCCCCTTTCCCTCTTTTGATAGTAAGTGCACATTAAAAAAGTGAAAGCATTATAGCCAAGGTGAAATCTTGTAATCCCATCTATATAGGTAAATACTATTGAAATTTTGTTTTATCTGATTAGATGATTTGGAGAAGGGACTTGGAAGATTTCACCTTAAATATTCATTGTTTCCCCATTTTAGCATTACATTTTAAAGGCGATTTCTGTGATTGAATTGTCATTTGGAAGATTAAATCCATTTCAAAAGGACTTGAAGCTGGTCCTCACCTTAAAGGAAGCAGTGGCTTGTTTTCAAGAAGCCATTTCTGATCTCAGGATCTACCCAGCATGCCTAATCAAGGAGAAGACTGCTATTTTTTTTTCTATTCTACATGCACCAAAGTAAGAAATGGTTTTCAGTACACTAAGTTATTTTCATGTTTTATTTTCTGCACTGTTTATTATCTGCTGTCAGCTTTTTAGTAAAGGATAGCATTCCTACGTGAATTCGTTCTTCGTGTATTCCTCTTCGTTTTTATGTTCTTCATGTTCTACAAAAATGTGAAGGCCTCTTACCTATATGAACTTGCTTAGGGTGCCTTTGGAATTAGGAGCACTTTGGCCTATGGGTTACCAACTTTAATTTTATTCGCTGTGTATTGTATTGTACTTCTAGAAACTGCTATGAGTTCAATTCACTTTCAGATTTCCTGCTGAATACTGAAGCCATCTACTAAATATGCTTTTCTAGCTTTTCTGTTTTTTATCAAAGCTTCCTTGTTTTCTCTTTGGTTGTACTGCAGCTCCGTTTAGATCAATGTGATATTTTCTGTTGTTCCTTTATGACAATTCTATAAATGTACGTGTTATTACAAAAACTTTTCTTTAGTCATCAAAGCCCTGATCTTACAGCACTTTGCACAATAGTAGTATTTGGATATCATTTTATAAAGTATGGAGTGGAGCATAGAATTATACTTACATCCTCATCTATTAACTTCCTTTCTGGCCTTTTTTCAAAAACTGATCACATTAGTTGGGATATATGAAACAGTTGAAGATGAACTATATAATGTATTTTTAAAGAATATCTAATACTCCCACTTTTTTAACTTATGTCATCACTCAGCTTGTATTGTTCATGTCGTCGGATAAGATGAAGGGTAGTGTCAGGAAATAGGTTGTAGAAAATTATAAATTTGTTGATCTCTGATTTTTTTGTTATCCCATCTCAGGTGTCTTCTTTGTCTGTCTGTCCTTACTGTTTTCTCTTTGTCTAGATGCCAGGAAACTGTTATAATGAACATTTCACTTGAGATCTCTTTCAGTTTCACAATTCTTTTCTGTATTACTCTCTTTGTTGACAGGGTGACAGCTGTCCGTTCCGTCACTGTGAAGCTGCACTAGGAAATGAAACTGTTTGCACATTATGGCAAGAAGGACGCTGTTTTCGACAGGTGTGCAGGTTTCGGCACATGGAGATTGATGTAAGTTTTGAATTTGTATTATTAAAAATGTAATGGGGAAATGACATGTTATGTGATTTAAATTTTTAAAAATGATCCAGTGAGCTGAAACCGGTTTGGCTCAATGGATAGAGTGTTGGCTTGGGGACTGAAAGGTCCCGGGTTTGATTCCAGTCAAGAGCATATCCCCAGTAGGGGGTGTGCAAGAGGCAGCTGATCGATGACTCTCTCATCGATGTTTCTAACTCTCCCTTCCTCTCTGTATAAAATCAATAAAATATATATTTTTTTAAAATAAAAATAAAAATGATCCAGTGAAATTTCTGTCATAATGCTCACTTAATATCTACATGTTATGGAGTATAAATTGGTATAATTTTTATGAAAGGCAGTTTGGTTATGTATGTATATTGGGAGTATTTACATCTGTTTATTTTCAAACTATCTCAAACTTAAGAGAAAAATTACAAGAGAAAAATTCTAAGACTTTTGGAAATAAATAACTGACATTCCCTGTCACTTCCAAATGTTTTTATGAGTATTTCCTACAAATAGGAAGGGCATTCTCCTATATAACCATTATACAACCTTTAAAATTAGAAAATTAACATTGATCTATTACCTTCATTTAATCCTCAGATCCAACTCAAGTTTTGCCAATGAACCAGTAATGCTTTTTATTTCAGAAGGAGCATGTCCAGAATCAAGTGTTGCATGTAGTTGTCATAACTTTTTAGTCACCTTCAGTCTAGAATAGTTGCTCAATCTTTGCTTGTCTTTCATTGGCATTGACACTTAGTTACGGGTCAGTTATTTTGTAGAATGTCCCTCAATTAGGGTTAGTCTGATATTTCCTCATGACTAAATTCAGGGTTTGTACCTTTGGCAAGAACATCAGAGTTGATACTCTTCTCATTGTATACCATTATTAGGCGACATACAGTGTGGGTTTTTTTAATCCTCACCTGAGGACATCCAACCCACAGCCTTTCAGTGACTGGTATGATGCCCCAACCAATTGAGCCACCTGGCCAGGGCAGGTGGCATACAGTTTTAATTATCCCGTTACCACTGATGTTACTGATCATTTCATTAAGGTGAATCTACCAGACTGCTTTACGGTAAAATTTTTCTTTTTGTAATAAGTGTTTTATAACGAAGTAATTTGAGAACCCCATTTCTTAATAATCCCATTTCTTATCAAACTTTCCATTTTTTTCAATGATTTATTTGTGCAAATTCATGGTTTCCCATTTTATTTAATGTGTTGTACTCCATTGTTAATATATTTTATCCTCAAATAGACCTAGATTTGGCCAGTAAGAGCCCTTCAAGATGGTTTTTGTGTCCTTTGGATATTTCCATCATTCTTTACACACCTCTTTGCTTTCTGGCTTAATAAATAAAACTTTCTAGGCTCATCCTGTACTGTTCCTCTTCTAGTTTTGGAATCAACCATATCTCCAAGGAGCTTTGGTTCCTTTTAGTGAAAGTAGTATATGGAAATGAGCTTTGAGCTGCTCCTGGAGTATTGCTGCTTCTAGGCCTACAGTGGACAGAAGAAGGGAATATATAAATGTGTATACATATGCACATTTATGTCATTATTTATTACTTTCTGCTTTTGTATTAAAAGTCATGAGTTCGTTTCAATAATAAAACATCACAATATACCAGGAAAAAAAAAAAGTTATGAGTTCGCATAGATACCTTCTATTTTTGCATACTTATAATTCTCTTTTCTGAAAGTGAAAAACTTAGCTTCCATTCTCCTTAATATTACTTATTTGATCAGTCCCCTAGTTATGTAATCCAATATTCCAGTCTCTTCCTACCGCTCAGGTGTTAAGTCCATCTGATCCAGTGTGTCCTTTAGAGTCTCTGTTTCCTTGTTAAGTTTTGTCTGGAAGAGCTATCCACTGAAGTCAGAGGTGTTAAAGTCCTCTGATATGAAGGAACTAGAGGCCTGGAGTGGAGGTTCCTCGTTTTGGCTGGCTGTCTGGGTTTGTGATTAGTATTAGGCAGATCCTCTCCACCTCTCAACCTCCAGTGGCGGGCAATGCTAAAGGCTGTTTCTGACTAATCTGATTAGGTAAAGACTCAAAGCCTCCAGCCGGGCAGTGGATAGAGCGTCGGCCTGCGGACTGAAAGGTCCCAGGTTCGATTCCGGGCAAGGGCATGTACCTTGGATGCGGGCACATCCGCAGTGGGGGGTGTGCAGGAGGCAGCTGATCAATGATTCTCTCTCATCGATGTTTCTGGCTCTCTATCCTTCTCTCTTCCTCTCTGTGAAAAATCAATAAAATATATTAAAAAAAAAAAAAAAAAAAAAAAAAAAAGACTCAAAGCCTCCAGAGACCGCCTTTGGCTACAAACTAATAGGATTCCGACCTGAATTGCGGCCCGCACCCCCCAAGCAGTTGTCCTCAGGTGTGGTGAAAGTTTTCTTCAGCGGGATTATGCAGTTGCTTCTGCCTGGAGGCTAATGGTTATTTTTTAATCCCCCAAGTGGCTTCTGAGCAAGGTGTTTTCCAATAGGGTGTGTCAACTGTCTTTACCCCGGCCAGGCAAATGTCTATGTGGGAAATGACTCAGTCCAGGAAACTTGGGAGGTCTGCCTTCTGAGCTCTATCCCCCAAGTCCCCTGTCCCAGCTTCTGCTCTCACAGCTCCAGTCCACTTCACCCTTCTCTGCTGGAGCACAAAGTTGGTGGCTTCACATGGATTTTTGTGCATTGACTCTTTAAGAGGGTGCCTACGTTTTCATCTGTTACTTCCTGGTAGACAGCGCCCTCGCTGCTTTTCACAATCAGATGTTATGTGGGTTCCTCTTCAGTTTTGGTGCTTTTTGCTGGGAGACCCAGCTCGGGGATTAGATCTCAGAGTTGTCAGTGGCAACACACACACACACACACACACACACACACACACAC